ATGTTAATGCTCAAAGATGTATAACATAGTCCAAAAAACTCCTGCAAAATCTGACTCAAAGCCACTGAATTTCAAATAATTATTTCAGTTTTTACAGTGTGACTTGCAGCAGCACATGAACGCCGTATTTTAATGTGTTTTTCCCCTCCTGACTCAGTAATGCTAACTCTGTCTGTTTTAATTTTACATAGTTCAGCTTGAAAATTTTGCTGTAGATATAAAGTCATCCACTTCAGGCATCAACTTCACTGTTTACATTTGCATTCAAAACCTACTTTAATCAATTAAGCATACACTTTTAGATTTAAATGTCTATTATTATGAACAACACATTCAATCAAGTGTGAGCACCCTTTGCTTGGTACTGTATATCTGTATGCTGTAAATGGAGAACAAGCGTGAGAGTGGTGATTATGATCATGGTAGCTCATCAGCATGCTGCCTGGGAAGCCGCTTTGGAGACTGGGATCTGTGGGGAGCAGAGCGGGATCATGAGGAGATTAGGTGCTGCTGGAGAAGGTGCAGCTCCCCGGAGGGAAGATGTCTTTGAGCACTATTGGGGGAATATAAACTGTAAACAGACCTAATGTAGCTGGTTTGCTTAGGAGTTCTTAGCGGTCCCACCCGCAAGCCTGCTGAAAGTCCAAAAAAAGACTTGAAAGCAAGCTCTAGAATAGTTATGTGGACACCCAGCCTTCACATATATGCTTTTTGAACATTAATATGGAGTTTGTTTACTGCAGTAACAACTTCCAGTGTTCTGGAAGGCACCAAGCGCATTGGTGAGGTCAGGCACTGATGCTGTGAGATGAGGCCAAGCTCACGGTCCGGTTCTTTCCAAAGGTGTTTGACTGGATTGAGATCAGGCTTCAGTCAACTTCATTTCAAACTTGAGAAACCATGGGGGCATTGTTTTTCTGAAACAGAAAACTTCACAATAAAAACACTTATAGTTGACTGGGGCAGCTTTAGCAGGGCAGAAATTTGGCATCTCATGACACACTGAGCTCTTCAGTACAACCCATTCTACCGATAACATTGGTCTATCGAGATTCCATGACTGTAGGCTTGATATTCTGCACTTGTTAGCAATGGATGTGGCTGAAATAGCTGAATCAACTAATTCAAAAAGGTATCCACATGCCTTTTGCCATGTAGTGTACCAGTGAGAAGGCTTATTCAAATGTAGATTTTGTATTAAGCCCAACACTTATGGTCTATATTCATAGTATAGGCACAGAACATCACAAAACATTCAATACAAAGCTGCATTAAAGGGAATAATAGAATGGAAGCTATTTTTACAGAAGGTGGAGCACCAGCAGTTTCTCCCTGAGTCTCACCATAGCAAACTTCTCTTCATGTGGGTAAAGCAAGCCCTGAGGTGACGTGGAAGAGAAAGAAATAATGTGCTCCTTTGGCGAGCAGCGGGAGCCGAGCGCGTTTAGAATGGAAAAGAGCACATGGCGCAGAGAATTTCACTCAGGAACAGCACGTCAGGGCAGGACCGTTTAAAAGCTTTCTTTGCTTGACATCCCAAGCGCATAAGCTCTAAGAAGTGATTCTATAGACGTGCCTGGATCAGAGCCAGTTCCTTAAACTTAAATATCACGCCTACTTTCCTCAGTACACACACACGTTCCTCCACATGGAGCACACGGTGTGGCCAGTGCGAACGAGGGTTCTTTGTGCCAGAACGGTGATTGGCTCTGACGTTGATAGACATTGACTCCGATCAAAATGAACTGACAACACAGACACAAAGCTAAAGAGCTGCAGGCAGTTTTGTGCTGCCCTCAGGAACACCACCATCAGGCACATTCCTGTGCTATGCGTGACTGGAGAGAGGAGGTGGGAGTGGGTGTTCTGGGCTCAGCCCCCCCCCCCAGCTGCAGGTTGGATGGAGCTGAGCCTGGGACAGATGAGAGAAAATATGCAAATGTGTCCCACGGTGAGGGAAATTCCAGCTCCGTCTGACAGTAATCTTCCGGCTCGCCATGCAAACAAATCACGGCCGCTCCCCACCGCCTGCCTTGCCATTCTAACTTGGCCCCCTGCACCACTCATGCACGTTGCATGCTGATGTCATTGCCTCTGTTAAGTGCGGGTGTAACGACACACGACGTCAGGATAAAATGTGTATTTGTAGTTTTTGTACCACCAAAGAAATGCTAGCATTCATTTTGTTTTGTTTTTCTGGTCAAAGTCTAGGTGTTAAAATAAAACAGTATCATCTGGTGAAAGCCTAATTAATACAAACAAGGATTTTTTAAGATGATTCCAGCACATAGCTAGTTTTTCTTGTGCTTTTTGTGATCGCTTTTAGGATTTTCATGTGTTTTTAATAGCAAATCAGGAGTAAGGTTGTAACAATATTTAATGACTTTGTGACATTGTGATGCAAATATGTACATTGTGTAGATGTGACTATGGGATCAAATAAGGGCCATTAATATTTTGAGCTTGTGAAACAATATTCACAAATAATTTCATATCCTGCAGTTGTATATCACATTTTCTGTGTGTAAAAACATTGCATGCACATATCTGAATGTGTGAACTTTATTTGATTCCATATGATAATGCATTTGCAGCTGATGCATTATTTGAACAAGTTTGTAAACAACCAGCACCAGATAACAGCCCAAACTAGTATTTTCATTAGTAAGCTGTGCAACAACAGATACAGTCATCATTTTTCTTCATTCAAACATACCCAGCCATCACCATGTCTTGAGATGTCTTAAGACATGTCTAAAGACACATTATGAAGACGTCTTAGGACATCTTGAGGCATGTCTTTAAGACATGTCTATAGACACGGATCTTAAGATGTCTTGGCAATAATAACATCTCAAGACGTCTCAAGATGTAGGATGTATAATACGTATTTTTAAATTTTACCTACATTTTTTTATATAAATCTTTTACTTTTAAATATTTTAAGGGAATTTTAAAATGTAACATTATTTATAGTTAAAATTATAGTAATTATTTTTTTTGTTCATTTTTTTGTTCTATGTAGGATGCATAATGGTATCATTTATTTTAATAAATTGCATATCATTTTATAAACAAACATTACATACATTAGTACATACTACATTTATACATTTCAGAACAAATTTAACAACAAAAGTAATAATACTAATAATAGGCACATGGTTCCCAGTCTGTAGCTTTCTCTACAATAAGCCATTTTATATGAAACCACTAAATGATTTTGTTTACATCGCAATGACAGAATTATGCCAAGTTTAGAAAAATGTGGAATTCTCCTTTAAATGTTTCTGTTGCATTAGAAAAGTTTATGGAATCAGTGATATGATAAAAGTTTATTTGTGAGTTCATACCATGCCTTAAACATGGTGGTAGTATGAGGGAAAACTCTTATGCAACTATTTTGTAATACAGTGTTGCAGCAAAATTTAAAAATTTAATTCAGTGCTTTTAAATATCTTTTTATAGTAATTAACCCTTAATGTTTTAAAAATGTGGTAAAATGTGTTAAATACATTTTTTACAGACTATTTTACAGTTGCTTCATTTTTTTAATGAAGGTATCATTTTATCAACTTTTAAAATAATAATAATAAGGAGAACAAGAACAATAATAAGTATGCATCAATTACAGTAAAGTAATTTAAAGGGGTATGGAAAATCACTATTTTACAGTTTTGTATTTCCTTGTTAATCTGTTAAAAATTCAGAATACTTCTACATTCAAATTATTTACTCTGCAATCCAAAGCATAGCCCATGAAAAAGCACCCACATAGCTTTCAAAAAATATAATTACAGTTATTGTTTATTGTTTTTACAACTGTGTATATGCACAGTACAATAGCGTCATCACACTTGATATGTTCTACAGAAAGAGAAAAACATGTTAACTGACTTTGTGTAGAAATTTGAAATATACTGCAATAAATACACAGTTCTGACCAATGAATCTGATTTTAAGGTCTGCTGTTATTCCGTATATAAGTTATGCTGAGGTTATTAACAATATAGTACTATGAACAATTATAAATGATAGGAAACAATTTTAAGACAAATTAATATGGACTAAAAAAAAAACTGACCAACAGAGTAATACAGAGGTCTGAACCCCAGCAGCACTCATAACATACCTGAGCCAGATAATGATCAGCTGTCAAACACTTAATACCAGACTCAGATGTGCTGGTAGCTGGAATAGAGCCAAGCTGTGGACATATGTGGACACAGGAAACAGGACACAGATAACAGTGTGCATATGTCCATGCCGTAATGCCTGAACACTAACATTACTGATATCGCACTGCTAATGTTACCGATCTTTCCTTTTAGAGTTAAATCCGTGATGAGTGAGAGAACTGTCAGATTCACAGCCCATCGCTTCTTCCTCTGTTTTTTCTCAGTGTTGGTCTTCTTTGTCAGAGATATGAGGAAAATGCATCTGTTAAAAAATCAATTTTAAGACAATAAATTTGAAATTACTTTTGGATCTGCGTACACAAGCAGGCTGAATTTAAAGGGGACCTGTTATGCTAATTTCCAATGTTCATAAATTTATTTTTGGGGTCGACTATAATACATTTACATGCTTCAGTGTTCCAGAAACACATTATTTTTCTCATACTGTAATTGTCTACTCACCCTCTGTCTGAAACGCTCTGTTAGAGCTCCAGTGTCTTTAAGCCCCTCCTTCCTGATGAGCCCAGTATGCTCAGATTAGTTAGCTCGCTCACTTGGCTCTGACTGATCAAGCACCAGAGCGGTTCCGCCAATACACGGGCTCCGGTAGATGCGTTGCGTTGTGTGAGGGCATGCCAAGCTCGCTGGTAGGTGGGCAATAAGGATTGTGTTATGGGATTACATCATCTTGTAACAAAGGAAAAGGGCTGGGGAACTCCAGCCCTCAGGCAGCTGAGAAAAGTGGTTCCTGTGGGAGAGAGTTTCTCCCTCTGGCATATACTTTCAGCTTTGTATCTTACACGCACAAAAAGATACATAACACAGTAAATAAAAGGGAAAGCATTATATATTCCCTTTATAAGTAGAATATAATGTACAGTATACATAATTTTACTCATCTAAAATCAACTCAGGCATTTAGTACACAAAGAAATGTGACAAGGCTTTAAATAATACCTATGCATGAACTCCAGCATGGCACCCAGCTCACACGCATAGCTGATGTTCAGACAATGATGTTCAGTGTAATGAAAGAAGCATCAGGATGAGGCCACTTGTGTAAGAGCATGATATGGACTGAGTGTTGAAAATGATATGGACTGCCACCATACTGGATGAGGCCCAAAGAGAGGATGTTCCTTGGGAAGGATTGAAAACAACAAAGTTGATTAGATAATTCACAATTCTATTGTTTTATCCTCTAACATGCCTCAGTCAACACGTGACAGAAATGATCATTTGCTATTGAGGCAGGTGTGAGCTTAGTACTGATATCTGTATCTGTTAAAAGCTGTGTTAAAGGAGAATTACATGATTTTTAAGCACAATTTCATCATTAAGATGCAAAAAAATAGTTTGATACAAAATGTTCCATTGTGGAAAAACTTACAGAGTCAGAGTTGTTCACAGTGGCAGTGACAAGAACCAGACGTTTCAAGAGTTCAATGCCTCTAATCTCTCACAGAGAATTATTACATGAAATGATTATTAATAAGAGTTGAACTCTATTAGATCGTGTTTACCACATGTTGTATGCTATAAATTGTAGGGCTCTGAGACTTGCAGAATTACACATTAAAGCACAGTGAAGAAGTAAATTCATAAATATTGATACAGTGTTGGTGATATTGCCATATTGATATTTTGAACACAGCTGTAATGGCAAATAACATATTAATAAATTGAATGAATAAAGTTTACCTAAACATTCTGCTCTTCTGTATTACCATAAATACTTCATGAATTATATTTGTTTGAAATACCCACCAAATCTAAACATCTGTCTGACATTCTTATAGTTTCATTTAAAAAATTAAAACTTGAGTCTCACCAGTTGCTCAGCTTCAGATGATTTCTGATGAGAAACATCTAAAACAAAACAGACACATGAGGTAAATGCAGCAAAATAATAACAGCAAAGCATAGCGATGAAAAACACAAAACAAACTGGTCATTATATATTACTAATAAACGTAGCCGAGTAAAACATCTAAAGCACAGATAATACATTTTAAAAATACTCTAGAAAGTACAAATCCACCAAGACGTTACTAGAGTAAATGTAACTGAGCAAATTAAAATTATTACTACCCTCTCTGAACCACACAGACTGACGGACTATGTTCAGTTTCATTGTTGTATTGTTCAGTGTGCTGACCCTGCTGCGCTGTGATCAGTGTGCTGACCCTGCTGCACTGTGTTCAGTCTTAGGTTTATTTCTGAGGCAGTCTTTCATTTGGAGCGCGTGCTAAGCGAGATCTGACGCAGCCGCGAGGCGTAAACAAACACGCCGCTTAGCCGCTAGCTAGCTAACTACATACGCTACCCTACCGCTGGTGTCTTCACTCGGCAGATCAACCCAGAAATACAGAAACAAAAGTTTACTCCAGCTGACTGTCAGTGAGGCTGCTCATCTCATTCGGTCACTACTCACCTTTTAAAAGCAGACTCTGACCGCTGCAGTCGGGACTCCAGTCGTAAAACCAGTCTCCACTCCACTCGGTCCAGTTATCGTTAGTCAGCTACGCAGCTGAAAATCCTCGTTTGTGGAGCTGAAAGCGTCACCCGGCAGGCGGCGCTGTCTTAGTAAGGAGTGTAAGAGAGTCTTATCAGGTTTAACACTCGCTAAACAAACTCGATAAACTGCCCGCGGTAGCGCCCTGAGAGACCCGCTCACTGTAAACGGCTGTAACGGTCGCGTTTGGCTTTAAACGGAGGAACGGCGGAGAGCGCTCGCGCTTCAAAACCGAACGTCCAAGCGGCGGAGTCCCGCGCTCTGATTGGTCTAAACTCCCGCCAGTCTTTTGTTTGTCCTCCCATAGATCTTTTTTTCTGGTTCGCACGGTTCTGCTGTACTGAATGAACTGAGCTGTTCTGTTTTTGTTTGTTTGTTGTTTTAATCTAGACACAGAATAGAAAACTGCAAACCCTTGAAACACATAAGACAGCAGTACAGCATTATCATACAGCATCACTGGAGGCCATGTCTTAAAATATTAAAGTCGAAGTATGAAGTTTGACATTTAAACAAAAATCTGTTTATTATGTAATTTTACGTGGTGAAACAATACAGGTCTTTATATTACTACTCAAATACATTTGTTTATTATTGTTCGTGTTTTCCAAATACTGGAGATAATAATTTTGAAAGTTATACAAATTAAAAGTCTAACTTTGGGCAGCCCTGATCTGCTTAAGAGAATAAACAGAAGTGTAGATGTTGAAGAGAGTGAACCAAGTGCTTTTTTTGCATTAAGTTTTGGTTGTATGTGATCTCTAAAGTACTCAGGTTAGCTGTTAAGTACATTTACTTCCTATTAGCTCAAAGTTGTTTTATCTTGGCTCCTAGCTTGTTGTCTCTGGTTACAATTGTACATTTGAAAATAGATCAATGTTGTTTTAATCATAGCATGTTTTCTGCAAATGAGCAAAAGGCTGTGACTGACTGTGATTGTAACATTTACCAATGGAGATAAATTAAAAGTTATTCTACCATGAACTTCAATGATATAAGGAAGAGAGTTTAAACATTTTAAGGTAAGGTAAATGGTTTAAGAATTGATTTTTTCTTTTGCTATTTTGCCACTGTAAACACATTTCTGCAATAATCAAAAAACAAAACATACAAAAAAAAAAAAGATTCACCAAAGTACAGCAAGTAAAACCTCAGTGAATGTTCTTTTAGTAATATCACACAAAAACCATAAGATTACAGCAGGCTGTTTCTTGAGGACATACTTATATTCTCTCTTATATAGTTATATTCTCATTATATTGTACATTAGGCAGTGCTGTGGTAATCCTCAGTAGTAATTTTCAGTTTGGCAGTATCACAGGAATACCACACTCATACCACAGGACCTTTTGTAATGGACCACTCTTTGGTCTCAACTGAACTGTCTTAAGACACAACATCTCTATGTCTTAAGACAAAGTGATGTCTTAAGTCATGCCTCGTCTTCAAGACACACAAAATAATTACTTCTTTGTCTTAAGACGTTAACTTTCATGTCTCAAGACAAAGACAGTGTCTTCACTCATATGTCTTAAGATGTTCTTGAGACGTCTTGGCATAAAAGAATGTCTCAAGACATCTTATAAATACTGTCAAGACATCTTAAGACATTTCAAGACACAGTGCCAGCTGAGTATGAATTTTATTCTAAATACTGTGAGAATATTTAATCTTGAACTCGAGAATCAAATCAAATCACGGGTCGAGTGTATTAGGAACCATTCCAAATTATGTCTGATATCAAATTTTTTTTATAGCATGAAATTGTATTAGATCCACAGAGCATATTGTATGGAAACCTCTGTATAGAAATATACTGTATATTTATTAAGTAGGGATGTACTAATCAGGAATTATTATTTTCTTTACAGTTAAATTGGCCAATGTCAATTTTGTTTGGTCTAATCTTTATTAGCCTTTTTAACTTAAAACTCACACTGTGAGCTCATGAACACATGAAACAAACTAGCACAATTCTCGACTTGTTTTCAGACCTGTATTTCTTCTGCTATACACACATACACTCACACACAGCATTGCCTTTGTGCAAAATAACTTTTTCAGAAATCTGCACATTTTCATCTTCTTCTTTTCTTATTCTTATTTAATATTTACATGTTGCACGTAAATGACCAAGGTGGCTAGCAAGTAATAAAATGGAAACTGGTGAAAGCTTTTGTCTAAATGTGACATAATCATGTCTGTCAACATGCTACAAACTCATCATTTTTCACTGCCTACCTGCTCGGTTATGTCCTCATCCTTCTTAAGTAGCTTTTTTATTTTTGTCTTCTTGGTGCCACATTGTATTTTTTCTTTTTTTTTATTTTTTTTGCAGTTACTTTCAGGTGTACAATAGCATGCGAACGTTTCAACACATCTGGTCAGATTAAACATTTTGTTAAGTTTCTGAGTGAAAAATAAGTTAACATACCCCCTACAGGGAGCAAGGTTGTTGTGTTTATTCAAAAATATTTATAAAACATAAAATGTAAAAACTGCTATAACTTTTGCACAAACCATGTTTATGTTCTATTTTTTTCCAATATATCAAATTCAGCAAATAAACAGTGAATTGAAATTAAAATGTGCAGAAGTGTGTTTACTCTGTAGAGGATGAGTACTTATTTGCTTATTTGCAAATCAACAAAACATGTCATTTGAGCAGATGTGTCCAAACTTTTGCATGTGACTGTAATTAACGTTACTTTTTACTCTTTAATGAGCCAAACTTGCATTTTAAAAACGTACATGAAAAATTAAATAAAGTGCTACATCAAAAGAAGGAGCAGCATGCTATTAGGCACAGTGAATGATTCATAATGTTACAGGTGTAGCAGCCTTCAAATGAAGTGTGAGTAAACATACCTGCCTCATGTTATTTACATCATAAAACTGCATCACAGATGGGCCGAAATCAAAATGATTAATTTTGGCAATTGCTAGTTGCATTTTTGGAACAAATTGAACAAACTGCCGACGCTGATCTCACATCCCTAACAGGAATATGCATACAGTGACACTCTGACTGTTTATGCCTGTGGATTGGTGCCTATCTTACACCAGTCACTGCTATTCCATCAGTAAGTGTTTTTTGGTTTGTTGCTCGGGGTTCACAGCAATCAGTAAAAAATCATTTCAGAAGCTCAGCTGGTTTACGTAAACGTAAGCCTCTGTAAACAGCAATGCACAGTTGACTGCAAAAGACACGCATTTCATTGAGATCTACTGTGCCATCCTTCACGACTCACACTCACACACACTCATCTCCCCACCCGAATCATCTGCTCGGTCTCTCCTCTTTAGACAGAGCTTTTAGATTTGTCTCGGAGGGATCGGATGCCCGTCCACTGCCAGCTTGATATTAGGAGCTCAACCAAGCCTGCAGGCCGACAACCAGCGAGATTCCCTACTGCTTCAAAGCTGTTTGATATCCCTGGCATGTGCCTGTACTTTCACAGCACATAGAACACATACAGAAAAACCCTCTACTGCTTCACACACAAGGCTGATGCACAGGAAACCTTTTTGAATTTTTGAGACTGACAGAAACAAACAGATAGAGGGAGAAATAGTGAAAGGTAGAGTGGAGAGAGAAATTATAAGGCCTATATTCTACATTTCTTGTGTATTTTCACTGAGGTCCACTTTTTGTATGGCTTTATGTACCACATATCAACTGTCATGATTTATGTAACAATGCATTTTTACATGGCCCCTTTTCAACCTCTACTTACCCCTTAAAATTAGTTGTTTTTTTACTTGTTTTTGTTACATTACAATGATAGCTTTCCTCCCCATTTTTTGGGAAGTGTTGCTTAAATGCAAGAGAATCTAGCTGTTCAGCGTATAAGTATATGCAGAGTTGTAAGCTAGTTCAGTGTATGGATTAAAAACAGGTATGTCTGATTTCAGCACGTAGTTTGAAAATGGACACATATTTTATCAGTATGACTGAATACCACCTGGCAAAACTTGCTTCTTATTTGCATAAAGTTGCAAAAATCTTTTTATTACACTGCTGAAACACATACAAACCTCTGTGCATAACTGCTGGCTGTCTCCATAAGACGCAATAGGAAGGGAAACAAAACTGCTTTGCTTCACTGTACTGTAAATGCAGCATTAAGACTGATATGTGGAAATGACCTCTGTTTTGATTGGCTGTTCTGTATTATACTACATTCAAGAAGCAGTGTGAGTTGAAACACTCTTTAGCTGTGTTTTAAAAGCAAGGCTGCAGTACAGGTGGGCTACATTTCTAGACCACTACATCATTTAAGGCTGTTCCAATCAGAAGGATCCTTCGTATATAACCAAGAAATGCAGCCTATGTTGTGACAGTTTTTCAAGGATGCTATCAGTGTGTTCCTCTGTCTGTGTACTAGTAAAATATATACTAACAAATGTGGACCATTCCACTAAATTAGTTCAAACTGTGGACCCACAGCAAAAAAAAATAAATAAATAAATAAGTATTCCGACCTTAGATATCTACCTAGATTATGAGGTTATGATCTGTTTAAACTCAAGACATTGACTGAGATAATAATAAGCTACATTTATGCAAATTCATCACTATAGGGTACTTTCTTTTGAGAGGTGGCTGTCCCAAACCCTAAACCCTGAATTTCAACTTGAACTTTTTTTTTAAAGAATTGTTTTCCTTTTAAAGTGAAGTAAAATCATGAGTTTTATTTTTAATATAAAACTTTATTTATAAAATGCTGTCCCATATTTCCACATTACTACCTAAACACAGCATTTTAGTCCACAGGCGGAGCCTTATTTAAGCCACATACCTGCATTTTATAGCAGGAAGTGAGACTGCATCCTTGTCTCTCATGTCCACATTGTGAACAGTTAGATCCCATTATTTTGAAGTAAATGTGTCCCAAAGTCTGAAAAATCAACGTGTAACATTTAGAATTGTCACTATTGAAACATATTTTCCAAAATTAGGTAAACTTCTCATGTTTTAATAAAATTATTATGATTTTATGTGCGTACAACTGTTCAAAGATGCATTTGCTAGACATGTATTAGCTTGTGTTTTTGAGTTATGCTCAAAATTCACAACAATTGTCACTGCTGAAACATTTGCTAAAGTTTTGGTAGTGTTACAATTGTTTTGAAAGTGACAAAATGGAATGCTTAATCACTTTCTTTCATAAACTAAACATAAAAAAGCCACAGGGTCACTCAAAGCAAAAGAATTTTAGTTTAAAGTCCAGGTCAGTTAAAACTCCGAAATGAGTTTTGAACTCTGTCTTCAAATCAGTTTGGTAGAATGATTCTTTCACTTACGTAACATTGTTTGTCTTCACCCGTTCCTGATAATGA